TAAGTTCTTCCGTTAATTGGCCAACTCTCTCCTCCCTCCCCTCTCTTCCTCTTGTTTTTTGTATTAACATGTATTAGACCTAAATGCAATCAAACAGCAACTAAAAATCTCACCATCCTTCTCAGAAAACGCAAGGAGTCCTGATCTGACATCCCTATACCTCGCCCATAAAATGGCAAAGCCGTATGCCCCAAACGCATGGCTTGTTCTGCATCTTTCTTATTCAGTTGCCCATGGAACAATTCAGCAAGATATCTGAACGTAAAAATCCGAAGAAGTATTTACTCAACACTTCTTAGACAATATTTACCTCAAAGTAACATTCCTCATCCTTGTCATTGCTGTCAAAATCAAAAGTGCTTCTTCAGAAACATCAAAAAGTTTAACACCATCAGGATGGTGTTTATGCCTCTGGCAAACATCACATGGTGTATTACTCTTGAGACACATTTGAGCATCATAAACCTGAAAAATGAATTGTTAAGAAATAGTACAGCTATCAGGGCAAGGGATTTATAACGCTTCTTAGATGCATTTCCACCAATGCTTTGATTTCCCCATAAAAATAGAGAAATTCCTCTCGGAGTATCTGATTAATAGTTATAAGTGACAAATTTCAAGAAACTTTTTAGCAAGTGTCTTACCTCACCAAAATGTTCCACAAGAATTTTTCTCCTACAAACCGAGATGTTTTCACAGTATGAGACCACTTGATAGATGTTCTGTAGATGCATTGAGCGCACGCTAGCTGGTGCTTGGCTATCGTCAGCTAAACTCCATTGCCAGATAATTAGAACAATATCTGGTTGGTCTGATAACGCACAAACCCTCGATCATTCTTCTTAGCCTTATTGCATCTTGGTAGCTGTACAATAAAAGGCAGTAAGACGGATTCCCATCTCGTCCAGCTCTTCCAGTTTCTTGATAGTAGCCTTCGATGGATTTAGGTAAGCTAAAAATGTTAACTCAAGAAACTTATCGCGCATATGGAAGAACTGCAGAGCAGACACTAAGGAAAACCAACAAACATTTCATTGGTTAAAGGAGCAAAATGGATGGACGTGAACTGCATGGTATAGTTATACTAGCGTCGATACTTTTACGAGGGGATGTTTGAATGAAAAAAAGACCGCCCTGAGCCCTTCAGAGTATAACCAGCAGTCATAATTCATTTTGTATAGACTTGAATCTTTTTGAAAATCTTTAAATCAGATGTGTGTATCTATATTTTAGAAAAATCATTTCCTTAGGCTATTTCTGAACTACGCTATGAGGTTT